GCTTATTACAGAATTTTCCACACCAATTTTACCCCGAATCTTGGCTTTGATGTTGGTAAGGAAGTGTACAGGGTGAGCCAAAATTATGAAGAGCATGTGCACGCGATCATATCCACTCTTTTTCATGTCGCTTCATTTCCGTCATCTTTCCTGTGCTACATGTAACCAGTTGGCGCCGCACGCTGTTACTCGCACAACATTGTTCTGCGGCGATACGGAATGGTGCGGCGTGAATTCTCAAATCTGGCCCGATACACCACGAATATCTGACCTGTAAGTTAGATGCTCTCCGCTTGCCCCGTGCCCGATCGACCGATGGCTTTTGACCACCCTTATTCGTCAAATTGTCACCTTTTTCCATGTCCCGAATGCCTTCTGGACCGATTTATAAACTTCGTGGTGAACTCCGCCTATTTCTTTGCATGTCCCACCCATCTTTTTCTTCCTCGCCAATCTCTCCCCACTTTTTACCCGATCTCTGAACTGTCTCTGAGCCGATTTATTTATATGCTTGGCGGCAAACCCACTTTTGGTGTATCCTCCGCACACCATTAGAAATTCACTTCCTTTCCTTCGCTCACTACTTTCCCGATCTCTGGAACTTCCTGAAACTGAGTCATAAGTCTGACAACAAACTCCGCCCACTTTGTGCATGCCCCGCCCACCAAAGCAATTGGCCCCTTTCCTTCGCCGACCTCTACCCCTTTTTTCCCGGTCTCTGGGACTTCTTGGAACCGAATTATGAGGTTTTTGGCAAACTCCGCCCACTTTGGTGCATGCCCCGCCCACCAATAGCAGTTGACCTCCTTTCCTCTGCCGACCTCCATCCCTTTTTCCCGGTCTCCGGGACTTCTTGGAACCGAGTTATGAATTTTCGTCGCAAACTCCGCCCACTTTGGTCATGCCCCGCCCACCGATGACAGTTGGCCTCCCCCCTCACCCACCTCTATCCACCTTTTTCCCAGTCTCCGGAACTTCTTGGAACCGAGTTATGAAGTTTCGTGGCAAACTCCGCCCACTTTGGCGCATGCCCCGCCCACCAATAGCAGTTGACCTTTTTCCACTGCCGACCTCTACTTTTTCCCAGTCTCCCTGACCTCTTAGGATCGAGTTTTAACTTTGGTAGCAAACTCCGCCCACATTTGTGCACGCCAGGGCCCACCGTCGACGTTAAGCCTCCCCTCCTTCTCTGACCTCTTCCCACCTTCCTACTTGTAGGAAACGTTGTCCACTTCAAGGCACGCTCCGCCCATTGTGGGCAAGCTTCCGCCTCACGTCATGTATGCTGGAAACACCTTAGACATTGCTCCCTTACACCGAATTGTTTTCTGCTCTGTAGGCTTTCTCCCAACCGAGTTATGAAATTTTTCATAAAGCACTGCTTTTTTAGAGAACGCCCCGCCCACCGGGGGTGGGTCTCCCTAATTCGATCTGGCTACAGTGCGCACTTTACCGACTTTCTCCAGCTCTCGAAGCTGAGTTGTGTTTGAAAGTGCTCAGGAGCAGGGTGAATATCGCTTGAGGATTCCTCAACGGCACGTCGAGGATTCTCTGCCCGATCAGAGACGATCTCTCGCGCGGACATTCACACTCGCCATGCCGTGCCGTCTGTGCTCTCCGCGCGGATGTTCACTCTCGGCACTACTCTCGCATGGTAGAGAGCTATGGTCGAGGATTTCCTCGACCGTTATTCACCCTGCTGTCGAGACCGCTCCCCAGGGTATCTAAGAATGCACGCACGGCACTGTAGGCGGGGCTCCGCTTAGCTGGTCCATGTTTTGTACTTCGCGAGGCTTTGCCCACCCACCCCACACTTGAGCCGGTCTCTGCAGGCGGATACCCAGGACCTAAGAAATTTCGTAACAGACATACAGAACGACAGAACAGACAAAGTGCTGTACATTAGTAAAAAGGCGGGCACACCTTCTTCTACTGAACCAAATATTGCAGTTTTCAATAATAGCGAATTAGCGAAATAACTACAACATGGTACGTCAAATCTCAAACTGAACTCACTAGGAGTTCTGGCACGCTACATCTAGCGGCAGCTCAACGTAACAAAGAACATGTATGGACAACAGTTGAACGCTTCAATAAATTTGTAACCATCCCAGGATGGAAATGGGGAGATTCGAAGGTTACAATTACCACCAGACAGTTTATCCGAATGCCATAGTGCGCGTCTCCTTTTCACTTTGTGTACTACTATAAATTGAAAAGAAAACTGAATGCAAAAAACCAGCTGAATACTCGATACACCTATTTTATGAGGAAAAGCCACTCGACTTCACAGCTTTTGAGAGCGTTACAGGAAGAGCACTCAATTATAAAGAAAAAATTGTGAAAAAAAGCTATTTCTCGAGGTCAACAATTTCGGATAGTTCTTATCCAGGAGTCATCTCCCTAATTCGCCTGGGATTTTAGTAGTGGTAATCCTGGCGAGTGACAGGGTGAAAGTGAACCCGAGAGAAATCTTCTAGCACCAGACAAACCAGGGCGCCCGGAGACATTCGTCTGGCATTTACGGCCGGACGCATAGTCGGTCGGACGACAGCAACGACCGCAAGTGTCGCATAAACCGCGGTTGCAAATGGAAGGCGACGCGGTCACCCAATGCTAACCCAGACAACACGTGACTGCGCGTGATCGTATTTCGAAAGTCCCACTGTAGTGTGGAATAGTAGCTGCGTATTGATCTACGACACTTACCGCGTCGCCTTCCATTTGCAACCGCGGTTTATGCGACACTGCGGTCGTTGCTGTCGTCCGACAGCAGCGGGTCCCCCTCATCTTCGGCATATGTCGAAACGTGCTCCCGTGTTCCTCTTGCCTCGTCGAGTGTCGCCAGGCTGGTCGAAGATCGATACCGCAGCCAATGCTGCTCGACACTTGCAGGCAGTGCCTGTCGGTTCCGGTACCCGACTATGCGTGCCGGCATTAGCTTTCCCACCACGCACGCGTCATCCCGCACATCTGAACGCTGTCACGTATGTTAAAGAACGTGAGTTAGGTGGCAAGTTTTCAAGTCTACGCTTTGCTTATGATTATGAAGGCGAACCCTTCGAAGATTGTGTGCTAAGAAGCGTACGCAGCGTGCGTTTTGACTCGATAGTTTAATTTTAGATCTATGATTTAATTATAATCATGATTTAGAAATATTACGGGCAAAAATAAATGGTTGTCTTTATTTTCGTAATTTCGCTCGCCCACCCCTGTACAATGTAATGGTGTACATAAAAAAACGAAAACGTGTCGGGGGATGCCGCCTCAACACATAACGAGAGATCATCCAAGCGTGGAAGGCTGCTCATAGGGGAGGCGTTGGGAGATCACCTTGCCAGGAAGAAACGGTTTGGGCGGGGATATGCCACCTACAAAAGGGGCCAGGGAGGGAGCCAGAGGAGGTGCAGTTAGGCAGCCGCAGGGGCCGTGAAAGAGAGGGCCAACGCTCGATAGAGGAGAGCTAGAGGTAGCCTTAGTGGCTGAGTGAGAAGAGCCTAAGTGGTTTATTATAAAAAGCCTGAGTGGTTCGAGTGATACGCCTTATGGTTAGTGGCTTGAGTTATAAGCCTTAGTGGCAGTGCATCAAAAGAGCCTCAGTGACAAAGAAGCCTTTGTGGCTTACGCCAAGGAACACTGCGCCGTGCACCCGACCGTGGTCCCGTATTCGGTGGTCGCCCTAGAATTCGCCAACTACGACTCGTCTCCGTGCCTCCGTACTAGCGATCTCAACCAACCTTACTGTTTATTGATTTTGTTTGTAAATAAACCTTTTTTATTTCGCTTGTCTTTCACGCACAGTTCGAAAAGGTCACTACTTCGTGTCGCATCACACAAATCCAGGTTATAATCTTACAAACGTTGTGTTTGAGTCTACCGAGTTGGAACATAATATCGTAGCGCTTGCATTTTTAATTACTTCACACAAATAGAAAGCAAATACAAGTTTGATTTCATTTCACAGGAGAACACCGGATATAGAAATTTAAAAAATATTGAGCTCGTTTCCCGGAGTCCTTACTATTCTCAGTTTGTACAAAATGAATATGGTTTTAATTTGAGCGAAAAAGGTAGGGTCGGTTAGAGCAAGGTTCGATTAGAACAATGGATTCAAAAGAACTTCCAATTGGCGTTTTTTCTTCTTTATTTAAACCGAAGAATAGCAGCTGTCGAAACGCCGATTTTCGCCGTCTGGATTTTCCAACTTCTAAGCTCTATACCTGAGTACAGCTACAATTTTGAAGAAAATGACAACTACGGTTTTGTAGAGCGGAAAGAGTACTTCCGAAAGACAATAAGCGGTTTCTCGGGCGATACTGGCACTGAGTTGAATTTACACGCTTGAAAAAACGATATTATGCTCCAACCTGATAGATATACACTTGTGAATTTCAGGATCAGACGATAAGAACTTTCCTTACAACCTTCAACAATTAGACTTCACAGTTGACTTTTCCGAAATTCATTCACCTGTTCCTCTGCGATAACCCTTATGCGGCTTTAGCGCTAACATATGCCTATTCGCCCTTGGCTAAGCATAAGCATACCTTTTCAGCGGATATGCAGGATATAGCCGGTTCCCCAGAATCATTGCACTCCCTTCCATTAATACCACATTGAGGCTGTACACGATCCGCATGACTGCATTCTTGCTCATCCGTGACCAAAATGGAAGGCGCTTCCGTTTTTACCAATGCGGCATTATTTTCGGAAACTCTCCTCAAAGCCTAAACAAGTCTGGTCTCGGAAAATCTGTAAGAGATTATGCACAGGTAGTCTAGAGATATAAGGCGATTGGAAAATAATAGTGAAGTAAGTAAAAGTTAAACCACAATTACCTCCTCTGCATCAAGAACAACAACCTGCTTGAGCGCAAAATTCTTTAAGGAATCCGGCAGCTTCGAAAATCTGTATACAGGAATACGATGCCGTTTTCTCATATGCTCACGAAGCGATGAAGGTGAATAATATTGACGATTACATATTTTGCATGAAGAACAGAATCCTTCATTTCTGATACGCTTCATTTCTTCCTCAATTAATGAAGAACAGAATCCTTCATTTCTGATACGCTTCATTTCTTCCTTAAATAAATGAAATTTGGGTATTTTTATAGGAAAAACTTCCAAAAAAAATGTCGAAAAAGGTACAATCTTACAGTTGTTACAAATTACGAGAACGAAATACTTGATTGTCGTTTTCCTCTATTGATACTACTACTGTGGCTTAATGGTGGTACTCACTGTGAAACTGTAGGAACACTGGATGTGGTCTTTACACTTACATTTTCTGGCTCAGAAGGGGTTTAGCAAGAGGGGTGTAGCAAGTGATCAGCGCCGCGTATTGCCATGCTCACTTGCAGTCGAAATTTTCGTGCCAGATAGCGTAGACTGTCTAGATTGTTACATTTTGTAGGTTCGCGCAACAGGTGCTTCTCTTACAGGAATGCGAGATGCAGCATGCGTATGTAGGGGGTGTGGTTCACTAGGACAGAAAGCGAATTTTTCGCGTTTCGCAGCGCGAAACACTTTTCGTTGCGGGGCAGGGTCAACCCTACGTTGTTACTAGTAACAACGGGGGGGTCGTACCTGGTTGAGTTTGTAGGGGGGGGGGTCGTACCCGCTTCAGTCGCGTGAAATCACATGTGAGTTTGTGGTGAAAGTGGAGTTTTCACGAGTAGTAGGCTAGGTGAGTTGGGAATTTAAATATCAAGTCCTGGAACACGTTCCAGAAGTATGGCGCCACCCCTAAAAACTGCTGTTCCGATTTAGAAAGATTCTGGCTTGCTACCTACTTTACTACTTTGCTTTTACCTAATTCAGCACACTCGGAAACCCACTTGATTTCAGACCGCATAACCAACACATATTTACTTAAAGCAACAGTCCAGGCAGGGTTTCAACTACTTGGTCATTAGGCGGTCAAAACATGCCCCAGCCCAACTAAAGTTTATAGGAAATGTCTTTAATTTCAAAACCTACCTCTAAAATGCGCTGGAAGGGGTCGAAGTCCTCTTGGAGGGGGCGGATCACCCATAAAGAGGCGGATCGCCCAACATACGCTGTGCAGAGTCCGTGCTTGACTAGCGGTCGTTGCGGGACCGCCGCGCTGTATGAGGTCGATTCCATAAGAACGCAATTGAAGCGCTTCAATTTCGATTGCTGGCAAATAGTTATGTATTTGCAAGCATGCAGCTATTTGCCAGCAGTTGCAATTGGAGCGCATGTACTACGGGCAGGTTCGGACAACTCGTCCAACACACGTCTCCCTAAACGGCAGGGCATGTCCCTGTCTAAGCCCCTGCCCGACGTTTTTCTTCACTTTTTCTCTTTCCATTCGACCAACTTCTCACCTACAACTTCCATATAGGTGT